ATGAATCAAGGCAATGGGACGTAGCTGAGCTCACGCGCAAATGAAGACGCGATGAAGTTAGCATTGGTAACACGGAGGTGAAAGTTTCTGGAAACTGCACGGAGCTTTTGAAAAGGAGAAGAGGAGGAAAATTGAATCTCGAACGGAGCGATAACAGCAGCAGATCCGCGGACTGGTAAGCTGGGCGCGTAATAGAGGAAAGGTAATTAACGTTTACCAAACGCAATGCTATTTTACTTAACGGAATGTACAAAACGGACTTTGCTGCAACTGGGAATGGGGACAAACATGTCTTGGTGAGCTTTTGATATTGTCTTGTTTGCAATCTTCTTGCAAAACTCAGCGTGATGTAAAAGAGCCAATCAATGAGTCATGGTGCGAAAAGATGAAAGTGGCCGGTGCTTGTGCGTACTTTGCCATAAAAAATTGCATGTATGGGAGTAATGAGAAAAAAAGTTTTGATTCGCCACCAGCTCAAAACTGCGCACAAGGCAGCTGTTTGTGCACTTTCCCACACTTCATCTTTACCTGGTGCATCAGCAACAACTGACACTAGGCTTGCTATGGCAGACCGTGTCTGTGGCTTTATCGCAGAAAATAACGTTCAGAATATCACTACCGCTGGTACATTTATTTAAATCATTTGCAGTTGATCGAAGTGCACTGTGCACTCAAACTTGATAGGGAAACCTTTTTCTTAAATATTGACGTGTCCACAAACAAATGTGGACAGAATTGTATCGTCCTTTTGCGATATTTTGACGAGGACAGAGCCAAAGTGTAGACGCTCCATATCGCCTTAAGTAAAGCTACTCTCACTAATATTCTGTCAAAAAGTTGACTCGTTGCTTGATCCACTTATATTTCATATCAAAATACACTGTATATCTTTGAAGAATTCATTTGAGCTGTATTCAATATACCAGTGTCTCCCAAAGTGGGTACTGCAGGGGGGCCGCGGGAGGTCATAAAAAAATAAAAAAATAATATAATTATTTAATGTTAAATTTATAATGTTTTGTTTGTAATATTAAAATATTTGTGTTCATTATTTGACTTGAATAATCCACTGTAATCATTTTTGTATTACAATGTTTGTAGCAGAGGCTATTTCCCCAAAATAAAATAACCAGAAGAGCCTATTCTTAATGTTGTCTTCTTGGTTATTATTTTGGGGGGCCACGCAGACCCGTCAGATTTTTAAGGGGGCCTCGGTGTTACTGAGTTTGGGAATGGCTGCAATATACAATCTATTATACAATAATATATTGTAATTAAAAATATAACTTGGTCTTGCATATTACTGTGATTTACATGTGATAAATTTCCATGCAAAAATTTTCAGTCAAATTTTTTTTTTTTGCTTTAACCCCTGAACTAGATTCCCATGATGCTATCCTGGCACTAGAGAGGAAGTCCAAGCAGCTCTCAGCACTAATCAGTCAAAGTTACCAGACTGCCCCCAACAGTAACCTGAAGGATTTAGATTCAGTTTATTTGCCATTTGCAGTAAAAAATCGCATTGGAATACCTGGATTTAAAAGCTCGACAGGAAGTGGATTTACAGGCTTTTGAATGATTAAATTCATAAATAAGGGATTGTGATGATGGATGTGAAAGTTGTCGAAATAATTATGAGGATCAAATCTGATAAGGAAAGTCTCATGTATCATTGATTGGTCTAGAAACAGCTGCTGCATGCCACGGCTGTAATTCTCACAGGCGCTAATGATGAAATACATGATGAAAAGAGTATGCATCCTATTTTTTAACAAAAACACCTGAACACCATCACATTAAATCATTTTTGGGCTTTTCTATAACCCATTTGTTACATGCAAAATAACATTCTTTAATTAAGTAAGTAATCTTTTTTTGTACAGCGCTTTTCACAGACCAGAGTCACAAAGCGCTTTGCAATTTTTATTTTCATTTTTTCTGGCATTTGTCACTCCCCACAGAGATGGGAGTGGGGTCAGAAAGCGCATACCAGACCTATTGTACATGTTTTTGGTGGTAGGGAAAAACCGAAGCACCAGGAGGAAACCTGCGCGGACACAGGGAGAATATGAAAATCTCCACATAGAAAGGCCTGGAAAGGGAATCGAATCCAAACCCTTCTTGCAGTAAAGCACACTCGCTAACCACTGCGCCAAAACGTTTGTCAAAACAAGAAAGAGCCACCATGTGTCTGCGGATTCAAAAGCCAGTCCACACGCTCTTATATGGTGAAACATATTGTAGGTCTGAAGAAGGCGGTGGTGAATTGAATCTTTGGTTGTTTATTTGAACAGTGCACATTATTCAACATGAAGCATTGTGACGGCAAATTATGTCAGAGTTTTTTTTTGTCTGCTTGAGAAATTAGCTTTTCTTCCAAGTCCATGTTTTTGAGTAGATTTTGACCCACTGGCATTTTTGGCATAATTTCAGGTAAATGTAAGTTAGGATCATGCACTCACAAACTAATGAATTGTTAATTAATATGTGAAATATTCTTGATATTGTCAGCTACATTCATCATTTATATGTAGTCCTAGCCAGAATGGTTACATTCTAGTTTTGTACCGTGGCAAATGTTAGCTATTGTTAGTTTAAGCGTAGTATAAGACACATATCGTCACACCCACAGCACACCCACAGTTCTTTTTATTTTTTTCTATACGAGCTTATATCAAGAGTACAGTCCAAAAAAAGAGCAGCAACTCTATTCGAAACTTCAAACAAGCAAGAAAACTATCCGTGACATGCGACATATGAGCTCACAAAGTTATGGAGCTTCAATGTTTTGTTGCTCAAGTTGCACAATGAGATGTTTTGTGCAGAGGGTGACACACTGCTGTTGCATCATGGCCCTGCTGCTCTCCTGATGTGCAGAGACGTGAGCAGGCGGTGAGAGTGGAGCACCTGACGCAGCAGCAGGGGATCACCCCACACAGCGCCTCTCTCACACTGAGCTCCAGCTGCTCCAGTTTTACGGCTATACGAGACGTGTACAAGGTGTCCTGTCAGAATCTGCACCTCTACACTCCAAGCATCCAACTTTAGCACTGAGGTAATGGCACACTCTTCATGCCATTATTTTATAGCATGCTATACAAAGACGTGCACCTTTTTGTGTCCTTAGCACACTATAAAAACATATAGGTAAATTATGATATGTATGGTGTTGTCAAAACAAGGAGAGAGGATCCGTGTATATGTATTCCATACGATAATTAATTTGCTACTTGAAGGTAGATATGTGTACAGGGTGACAATTTAGTTCCATTGCCACCATGGACTGGACGTAACCCAGAGAATGTAATCGAGTGTTGTCCGTTAGAGTGAAATTCAAAGAAATATTTCGGTTTTTTGTAAAATTATATTTCCAGGTTTAATTTCTTGAAGCAAAAAGGAGCAAAGCAAAAGTATTTTTATCCCCCGGTCTTTAGGAAATAGCTTCACTTCACAATCCAAACAACCAAGCGGCATCAATGCTAATCAGCTTAACAAAAATTCAAAAAATTGACCCCGGGTTTATAACTAACTCATCCAAGATAAAAAAATAAAAAATAAAAATAAAACAAGCTAGTGATCAAGTGTTTCCATCCAGCCACCCATTTGTTTTTATCCAGGTTTTTCAGAGATAGGAAGCAGAGGTAGGAGTCTGAGCAGCTCTTCTGGAAGAAATCTGAGGCATTCCTAGGACAGCCGAGACAAACAGACCATCCAGTATGATCTGGGTCTTCCTGAGGGACTTGCCTGGAACACCTCCAGAATTCACCCGTAACAAATGTCTAACCCTGAGCCACCTCAACTGGCTCTTCTTGAAAAAAAAGAAAAAAAAGAAAACACATCTATTTCTATCTACATCTTGTTTTGGTTATCATCACTTCCATATTGCGTTGATTTGTCACTTGCCTGGGTTGGTTTCAGATTCTGCGCCGGTAAATATTTATATATGTATTATAGATACAGTATCGATGTAGGATTGTGTCCATTTTGGTCCAGGTTTCTTTATTGGTTTCAAACACAATTTATACCCAGTTTAGATCGAGTTTTGAAGTGGTGCATGTGTAACTTTTCTCACATCCTCTGTGCCCCTTTGCGCTAGCCATTGAGCTGAAGTATAATGAGGAAGGGGCAGGATTTGGGAGCCGGTTCTCCAGCTTGGAGCAGAAATAACAAGCTCATATGTTATTTACCGCAGTGGCTGCCGCACCGGACGTGACCATAGACACTCCTCAAAGACCCTCCATGGACCAAACAAATACATCCTATTTTTTACAGGGTCAGTGAACATGCTGAAGACACTGGCTTGACAGGCAACCCTTCCAGAAGAGATGCCCTATACATCAGAGAGCTATACAATATAATGAAGAGCCATAAATATTCCTTCTCTGCACTAAGCAATAACTTTTCCTGTGTGAGATGTATTTCCGAATCCCCTTTGGAAGATAGTGTTTTGATAACTGTCCATATGTGTACCATAAAAATACAACCCCTACAGTTAAAACATTTATTGTGTATCATTTAAACAGCAGGTTAATTTAGTTTATCATAAATGCGCACTTTCATTGTTCATACACAGCAATGAACTTATTAATGGTTTGCTCAATCTGTTGCGTTGCTGTATCAACTTGAAGTATGGTTGGAACTGAAATCTACCTCATTGGGGCATCTACTGTATATCACTCACTTGGTTTTAGGGTTTTTTTTGATTAGTGCTCCTACATCTTAGAAAAAGACCCATTGCTTTCTTCAAGGAGTGAACATTAAAGGGTCAAGGCACTAGTGCAGTTGAGAAGGTGTGGAAGTCAATGGGCATTATTTAATTCAGTATTTTTAATCAAACTCAAATACTATGAGGAAGTGCCCAGGGTTTGAGCCCTAATGAGTCTTAATTTCACTTGAAAACCCCAAATCGTGTTGGCTCGATCAACGGACATTCAGCAATCTATTTCTCACACTCTTATAACAAACACATGCTTATAAGCTCTGCATCAGCACAGAAGCATATGGTGAACCTGAGCAACAAAGCAGACATCTGGAGACTGCTGGGCACAGAGACACGTACCAAAGACTATCCTGGGCCAACACTAAGGATGTGCAGAAGCTTTTCAACGTCAGAAAAAAGTGCAAAGCAAATTGCAATGACTGATATTGAAGTTTGTTTCCAACACCTGAGACTTTCTACTTTTTTTTTCAAGACAAGTGAAAGAAAAGTTTGCAGTGGGGGATGCTCGTTGCTTTGTGTTTACATCACAGAGATATGAGAGTGTTCCTGGAGGTGCCAATGCAGAACCCCTTTATAATCAGATATGTCCCAGCATGCACTTGGAGGGGGGGTTATTTAATGTACGGAGAAATATATTACGGAGACCTGGTGACAGGACATGGAGGGGCTATGTTTCTTAGCGTCCTGGGAATATGCATATGTTGTACTCGCTTCTCTCTCTCTGTCTCTCTATGAAGTTACAGTATCTTAAAAAAAGAATGTTTGAAAGTGGCTATAATGCTCCAAGATTTTAAACTTTCTGAAGTCCATTATATTGTGATTCTTTTAGAACCAGGGTAATCCCTTTGTGACTTTAATTCAGAGACTAAATCTAGATGTTTAAAGTATAAAACATTTTATATAATTGGAAAAGGAAACACAATACTCAAATTCATCATATTTGAAATTTTATGTCAGCTTGAATTATTCTATTCGCAAACGTTAACCATCAAAATCGGATGGAACAAATTATCCGTATTTCTATTTCATCAAATTTCACAGTGCATTGAATTTGAGGGCTCGAAAATAAACATTGAATATTTATAAAGGAAAATATTTCAATTTGAAATTCTAATGTGCTTCAAACTTGCTTTTTCATGGTTAAAAATGTCAAAAGGAAAAATCTTCTATACTGCTGAATGTTCACATAATCAGCTGAATACATAAACGTAATTTATGACGACATCAGACCTCATCTCTCTTCTTATCGTCAAGCTGGTAGTTCCACTGTGCCACTCCATCGTCACCTGCCTGATGCAGAGTTAGCACCATCCATGCCAAGACACTGTCAATCTATGTGACAGGCACAGGTCAGTCCCAAGATGGAAAACAGCAGCTCCTATACATCTGCACTGAAAGCACTAGAGAAAGATATAACACCAGTGTGTTTCAGAGATTAGATGCTCTCTAGAACCGATGGCCACTGGCTTCGCCTTGTTTCACTGTGAGTTATGGTTTAGCCTGAGACCTGCAGCCTGTGTCAATACTCCCTGTCGCCAGTGTCTGTGGATAGGCCCATTTAAATGCATGAAAGCCTCTCATGCAGCCACTGCAAAGAAGATTAAAGGAACCACTCTTATTTTATTTCTCCTTCTCACTTCAAAAGAATCACATCATCAATAGAGCCAGTGTGTCATCTCTGTAGAAGATGACAAAGTAAACTTACTTAAGATCAGGCATGTTTCTAGGTTACACAAAATCTTGTCATGTTCTTGATGAAAATAGCTACATGTATATTATATGATGCTATGATGTTGTCATTTCATTTACAATGCCATGTTGTGTTCCACTGCATGGCACCTGTAGCTTTTTTAAAATTCCCTATCAAGAACAAAAACAAAAAAAACAAATGAGCATCAAATGGTACAAGAAATGACCAATATCTTCATCCTGTCCCATTTGCTTTCGTTGGTCTTATTCAAATGCACAAAGGCCCTTCTTGTAACCAGCATAAAAAGATTAAAGGAGGCCGCAATGTATTTTATTTTTGGGTTCAAATCAAACTGAGTAAATAAGCTCAGCATCCCTTGGAAAAGGGAATGCTAAATTGTCGCGTTCATTATAAACTTCAAGGAGTCCGTTTTATTATGAGAGTTCAAAGGCAAAGAGAAATGCCTGTAGCCCAATACTTGTACTTGATCCAGACGGGTATGGAGACGGAGAATAATAGGCAAAGTGACAACCGCTTGTAATCTTGTCCCCAGGAGGGCCCTCCACGCTGGTCACCTGTCATGCTCACAGCAGTGTGATGAGACAGACACGACTTACTGCTGCTCCACTCGCTCCCAAAGAGTTACGGAGGTTTACTGCTGACTTTTATGCAACATTTAAGAGATTAAGGATCTGGATTATTTGTTTGCTTTTGGTTAACCATCAATTAGCAATTATAAATGATCACACACAATAACGGTCATGTGACTATGTAAATATACATGTTTTGTCTGCAGACATTCTGGCAGAAAGATTAATGGATTCAAAACAGCTCAAAACACCTCCATAGCTTCACGGAGGCAGCAGAGAGTGTTCTGTGAAGACGAGGGGCCAGTATTTGCAAAATCAAGGTGACTAAATGAGAACAACAAAGTACGTTTTTGATAGCGGAAAATGCTGACATTTTTTAGTTTGAGTTTTGCTTGACCTCAACATTTATTATGAACTCAATAAAAGGATACAAGCTGAAGACCGTGAGAAGGGTCCCAGGGTACTATACCGTATTGCCTATAGAGGAATTTGATGGATTGGTCTAAAGCAGAGAGCTATAATCCCTCTGTGGGGAATCTCAGTCTGGAGTTTATACATCGTCAAATAACCCAGGAGATTGAGAATGGCACAGGTGCATTCCAGAAAATGAAATTAAGATGCATTATCATAAATTTTTCTTGTCAGTTTCAAATGCCAAGGCTGATTTGAAAATATGATGTATACATATTTAAATGCAAAGGATCTTAAAGCAGGTCACGTTCACTTTGCACACTCATTTGCTCTTATCACTTCAAAAGTCAACTGTTCCGAACTTATCAAAATTAAAATCCTCGCAAAAGTTAAATGTGTGGAGTAAACACTTGAGTTTTACTTTGGCCTTGCTCCGTCTTCTTCTTGGCAAACGCTGGGCCCTTGAAACAGGAGCGTTGCCTTCAGCACTTGGATGAAATTCGTCTTTTGTTGACAAACTTTTGACGTTATTTTGTTGCCCACGGTGAGATGAGAATTGTATTGATCCTGCACACAACTTTTGTGTTTCTTTAAGACAGGTAAAGTCAAATCTGGCAACTAAGGGAGGGAGGATGTATACTGAACTTGGTAAAAAAAAAGTATTGGCACGGATTATATGAAAACAAAAACATCACTTTGAAATGAAAAGTCTTAGCAAAAAAGCAGAAGTGCCTCGTAACAGGACATAACAGGACAACAGGACACACTGATGCCAAGACTGTAAAGCCCTAGTGATTAGAATAGTATCAATGCACACAATGGTTTGAATAATCACTTTGAACTGGATCACATATTGTTTTTTAACTTAAAACGTTGAATAATTTTCAAACAGTAACGATTCCACATTTCTTAATTTTGTTGTTGTTGTAAATTAATGTGATTGTGCCACATATTGTGTTCTTACTTGTTTCCATTTCACATAATGTCTTTTCTCAATCTATAAACCCAGACAGAAACAAAACTGCAAGGGGATGGCTTCAGACAATGTACAGTATATGATTGGATGAAATGTGCTGCAGATACACACATATTCTCATATTCAGAAATGACTTGCTTTTGATTATACAACATTCTTTTGGGAAATAGAGCCAATAGAAGAAAGGTCTTGGAGTTTTCCCTGAACCAACTGTATTCAGAGCACATATGATCACCAAGTCTGCAAAGTGTGCAAAGGTCAGAGAGAGTGGTGGAGAGAGGGACGGTAATGGACACACACAACACGCACAAGCCCTCTCATGACCTGACCATACTAAGAGTCGGACAAAAAAATATAATCAGATGTATATATGTTAGACGTGTGTGGCATATACTTGTGTTTCTTAATTTGGGATAATCTGGAATAGGAGCTGTGGACTCTAAAATAGTTAAACACAATACATTGGAAAGCATGCCTGTGGTTGTGACGAGAAAAATATGTTTTGTTCCAGTGGAAACTGTTTTGTCACTGCTGTGGCTGATGAAATAAAGATGTTTCAAGTATAATTACAGCAAAATCATAATAAACCCTTCATAACAATGCAGTCGGCAGTTTCAGGCTTGTATTTACATTGATGGATTCAACGGTTTGAGTATATTTACATAAGCAGCATAAGAGTATGGACGGAATAAATAGCTGATAAATGGATTTGTCAGTGGAAATGGAAATCATTTTGAAACAGTAACCCTTCTACATTTCATCTGCTTTCTTTTTTATATAATACATTTGTTTGTCCCAAGAGAAAGAGTCTAGAAAAAGTAAAACAAATCTGCCCACAGAATTGTTGTCAATCCGTTTTCTTCCCTTGATCTTTCAGCAGGGGCTTTGGGCAAAGTGGGGTTAAGTGTCTTGCCCAAGGATACAATGACGGCAAACATCAGTGGATGTCGGTGGAGAAAGTTTCGTGGTGGGCTCGAACTCACAACCTTCAGGCTCAAAGGCCAATGCTTGTAAGAACGTTTCCTGCAAGACACTATTAGACTCTTTGGGCTAAGAGCAGATTGGGTGAATTCCTTTGTTTCACACTTTTCTGATCCAATGAGGCCAAAAGTGCACGCCGTGAAGTCTAGTGAAAAAAAACAAATTGTGAGGAAGTAGCTAGATTTTGTTGCATTCAATTTGTGGCTTATACTGTATGGCCTCGCACCAAACTATATTAGTGACATGTTAGTACCATATGAACCAGCCCGGACTCTGAGGAGCACAGGGACTGGACTCCTGTTAGTGTCCAGAGTCAGAACTAAACATGGGGAGGCTGCTTTTCAGATTCATGCTGCTAAAATCTGGAACAATCTTCCTGAAGATGTGAGACAGGCCTCCTCTCTGACAATGTTTAAAACCAGGTTAAAGACGGTTCTGTTTAGCTGTGCATACAACTGAGGGATTTTATATTTTTATCTTTTTTTTTTTAATGCACTGTGATTATTTATGATTTTAATGCTTTCTTGTTCTGTTCAGCACTTTGAATTGCCTTGTGTATGAATTGTGCTATACAAATAAACTTGCCTTGCCTTGCCTTACTGTATGTGTGTGTGTGTGTGTGTGTGTGTGTGTGTGTGTGTGTGTGTGTGTATGCGCGCAGTGTGTACTCTGTTTTTCTTCTCCTTCTCTTCTCCTTTTCTTTTACATTTTTTCATTATTACTGTATGTTTTGGTTGTGATTTATTATTTTCACATTCATTATTCTTCTAATTTACTTCTCTGCCAGCTTACATTGGATATTTTCAATTCTTTGTTTTTGTATACCAAAAAAGTTGATAAAAGTATGGTTTGAAAAAATAGGGTTGTGACTTGAATGTTAGACTCCGCATCTTTAAATAATGCGGATCTACAGATGAGACATGAAAGTAAAAGTCAAATGCCCTGTGTTGTGTTAATGGCTTCCTCCACTCTTTCCTGTCAGTGCCGCACGCCTCAGAGGAGTACATTAACATGTGTCACTTCTCTGTGGACCCTGCATCTCAAACAGGGTCAGCACATGCAACATCTGCCTTCAACATTCCTCAGCCCTCTGTCTTCCTCTTGACATTTGTGAATGGATAATGCCATCTGTCAAGAGAGATAAACTTGTGCATAAGGAAGAAGTTTGGGTGACGGATTAAAGATTTAAGAGCTGGGACAGACTGGAAACTGCACAAAAACAAGCCAAAAAAAAGAACTAAATCTTGCTTATAAAATAGGTGATTATGAGATGAATGGGTTTCTTCTTATTCAGAATAGCCAATTGCCAGTTTTAACTATAGTCAAGGCACTCATATTGTTTGCCAAATGTGGGAAAAGCCCATTGGAGCTAACTCCACCAGGCTAAATTAACGATAATCTGGAACAGCCAGGTAGCAACAACCCAGCAACCAAAGTAATAAAGTAAGTGATGTTTATTTAACCGGAATTAAACATACATTGAAACAAATATTTTATAGAAGTACTGAGCATTATAACATTTTAGAAACAACTTTCTCCTTTCCATATTGTGTAGTTCAGTGTTTTGACCTGAGATTACATTTTAAGGGGTATATGACCAGTGGGAAATATAGGCTTATTCCCAGTACAATGTTGTGCTAGCTTCTTTATATAAGATACTCTAATATTTGAGCCTGTTCAGCACATTCTGGCTATGCAAATGTATTTCATAAAAGGCTGAAACCAGGGAGCCATTCATTCATCTTACGAGCTATTTCTCCTTGTCCCATTGGAGATGAAGTTTTAGTTCATTTAGCCTACTAACTCCACTTGTGTATCGCTGACCCTGGTAAAAAATAAAATAGTGCAGCTTATCGGAGCTCTCACACTAGCAGTCTGCGTTCAATTAATGTGACTTTTCTGGGGAAGATAAAAGCAAACGTGGACACCAAGTAATTCCACTTTCATGTTGCGGTGTTTCAAATCACCAGGCTAATCGCAGCTGCTACAGTATGTTAATTTTTTCAGTTTCTTCTTTGGTCTAAAGCGCTTGCTGCTCTGCGTTCAGTCCTGCTGTCCTTTTTCTCATATTTCATTACACAAGGGTACAGTAAGGTGCCAATGTATCTGTCAGTCTACTACTGCATTGATCTCCTGTCTCCCCTGAGCCAACCATTATACATTAAATCTTGCGAGCACTGTTTTATTTATTAGAAGTGGCATAAGGTTAAATGGGAAGGGAAATGTAAAACAATGCACAAGTCCTGCTTACTTCTCTGTTAATCATGATATAAATTACTCATATATTTACTTATGCTTTTTATTTCATTCTGATTTAGACTGCTTTGTCCCCTTTTTCGTCAACACATTCTATACAAATCCATGCATCTGGTGTGAAAAACGTTTGAAAACTGTGATATAAGTATACACCATGTATTTAAAGAATGGGGCACCTTTGATTTTCAATCCACACTAATAGATCTGAAATAAAATCCATGTAGCTCAGTTTGCTCTTATTGCTATAGTTTTCACGTGCAGGTAGATCTGCCCTATTAAAGACACCATAATGTGCTATTTCATCCCATTTTTTTAGTTTTACAAGACTCTTTCTGATTGGACAAACCATGTGTATTATTCTTTTTTAAAGGTACCGTGGCTTTAATATTGGCTGCAGGCAGGAGCTGAATGCAAATGAATGCATAATCACAGACAGTTTGGCCTGGATAGTAACATCATCAAAGTTCACATCTACAAAGTCAAGCTGTCCATGTTTGATCAAATGAGGAAATATTTGAAGTGAAAATCATGCAAACTCAGAAAATCCCTCTCTCTACACTATGGATAACATTTTAATGGGGTGATTTTTAGTTCAAGTAAATAGTGTGCCCGTTATGTCTTTGTCTATATACCACTCGAGAAGCAACTGGGAATTGGGAAGGTTCACTCATTAAAATAATACAAAGAATGAGGTGATGTTTGTTTGGAAAGTTTCAAACTTCTTGAGGACACATTTACAGTCTCTGCTCTCATGAGAAAAAGTTCAGCAGGGATTTTAATAACTATTTTAAAGCAGGAGCCATAATGAAATAGATACAGGTGAAATGAAGATAGATTCAAAAGTTCAACTGTAAAACCAACTGTAAAACCAACGTACCTGTATAGTATAAACTCATTACCTGCTAAGTGACAATCCAAGCCTTTGTCCATTTTAATTTTGATCATTATGGCTGACAATCCCTTTTTGAAATATTTTATTTGTTTTTTTCTTAAAAGCTGAAGCTATTTATTAACATTAAAACAAATAAAGGCTATTGTGGGGAAAGAGAGTACGCTCTTGTTTTGTTGGAATTTACTATCATGTTGTATTAAATGAATAAAGTAAATTCAATGTAACAGTGTTGTTGGACTTGATTGACTTTATCAAGTGAATCAAAAACAAGTTGAATACCAGAAATACATTGATTTTTTTAACAATATCCTAATTTTTCAAGTTTCACCTGTACATACAGGTAAAGGAACAAGTCCACAGTCCTGCCCACAGTCCTGCCCACAGTCCTGCCCACAGTCCTGCCCACAGTCCTGCCCACAGTCCTGCCCATAGTCCTGCCCACAGTCCTGTCCACAGTCCTGCCCATAGTCCTGCCCACAGTCCTGCCCACAGTCCTGCCCACAGTCCTGCCCACAGTCCTGCCCACAGTCCTGCCCACAGTCCTGCCCACAGTCCTGTCCACAGTCCTGTCCACAGTCCTACTCACAGTCCTGCCCACAGTCCTGCCCACAGTCCTGTCCACAGTCCTGCCCACAGTCCTACTCACAGTCCTACTCACAGTCCTGCCCACAGTCCTGCCCACAGTCCTGCCCACAGTCCTGCCCACAGTCCTGCCCACAGTCCTGCCCACAGTCCTGCCCACAGTCCTACTCACAGTCCTGCCCACAGTCCTACTCACAGTCCTGCCCACAGTCCTGCCCACAGTCCTGCCCACAGTCCTGTCCACAGTCCTGCCCACAGTCCTGTCCACAGTCCTGCCCACAGTCCTGCCCACAGTCCTGCCCACAGTCCTGCCCACAGTCCTGCCTACAGTCCTGCCCACAGTCCTGCCCATAGTCCTGCCCACAGTCCTGCCCACAGTCCTGCCCACAGTCCTGCCCATAGTCCTGCCCACAGTCCTGTCCACAGTCCTGTCCACAGTCCTGTCCACAGTCCTACTCACAGTCCTGCCCACAGTCCTACTCACAGTCCTGTCCACAGTCCTGTCCACAGTCCTGCCCACAGTCCTACTCACAGTCCTGCCCACAGTCCTGCCCACAGTCCTGCCCACAGTCCTACTCACAGTCCTGCTACAGAACCACGGTATGAAAACAGAACATCCAGATTTTGCCTAGTCCTCATTACTGTCTGTGTGAAGAAAGTTACATGTTGTGTGTGTCACGCTGTTGTGTTCTTAAAAGGTCACATTGTGATTGGTTAACATGTTTTTTCATTTCGAGCAACTGTAAAAAATACTGAGTGTACCTTAAAAATAAAGTTTGTAAATTCGTTCTATGAAGGGCTAATGCTGCACTGCTGTACAATTAGAGCTGTCAACGCTGCCTAAATCTGAAAACTAATTGGCTCTTGGAACAAAGTTTGTCATATTATTAGAATTCCTGTCACTGACCCTGGCGTTCAGAAGCTCTCGCCAGAGTCTTGTGAAAATAACCTGCGATCGTCACCAGAGAATATACTCTGTCTGATCATTTGTTTTCCAATTACGCGTGTGTCCCCGCAAGCAGAAAATTGTCAGCTTAAGTTACGTGACTGTGTAACCAGGGGCAGTGTCTGGAGCACCAAACATTAAAGATGAAGGCAGGGCAAGTGACGATGCTGGGCCTGAGTCCATTGGTTTTGTGAGGAGTATTCACATGCATTTGGGCTCTATGTTGTGTTCCATTATGTTTGTGGAAGATGCTCCTGATATCTAGCCTGACTCTCGCCAGACCCATGTAGTTCGCTGCACTTCACACATGAGTCTGGTATTGAGCCATAGTGGTTGGATTTCAGAAGGCAGGGCCTTGTATAAAATATCCTTGTATGTGATTGGATAGACCACTTGTCCGTTATCTTGAATGAAGTCTGCTTTCAACCACTCACATCGAAGCACACGGCTCCCACAGGTTGCCAAATCCCAGCAAGATTTTCCAACCCAAAATCCGTGAGAATACCCCAAAAAAAAAAAAAAAACTAATACCTACAAGTCTCTTGGAAAAAAATATGCGGGAACCACCAAACCTGGCAACCCTGCTGCATAGTGTGTAAACAGGAACACTGAACCAGTGCTTCAACCAAACTTTACAGGAACATTTGACTCTTAAAACACACATATATCAACATAGAACCATCTACATCTCGCCTCAAATTGCATTAAAAGTGACATCCGTGTCTTAATTCGATCGTATTTACTCTTTTAAAAAGATTCGCGGACTTTACGCCCGCCATCTTGGATTCCTCTCGCTGCTGCATGAGAGAAGCTTGAGAAGGCAGTGCAAACCTCACGTAACACCGGCAATCCTGATTGGTCGATTCAAAAATAATCTGGGGAAGGCGTTTGCTATGGCGTCGATATCAGACCCATGTGGTTCAGCCAAACGCCTCTGGTGGAGCATGGCGGAACTACAAGGGTCTGGCAGCCTACACAGAAAGCAACTCCAAATACATTTTTGATGAAACATCCTTGAATCAACAACATTGATTCCTTTTCACACAGTATACACTTTGGGGATTTTGTGATTGTGCATGGTACTTTTAGAAGAACACAAACGCTGGACATAACATTTTTGAACAAGAGAGAAACTAAAAGATAATTGGCTTTGTTTTCCATCTTCCCTCAATCTATCAATAGATTTTGTGCTTTCAAGAACAACAGTTAATGCTGCTCATTGAAATAATCTGAGCAAATAAAAGACTAGAGATATACAAGTTTAACAGCTTCTTTCCACATTATTTTATGACTCACAGTATTTCTTCCTCCCACTCCTTTTTTGAGTTTGAATGATGTACAATATTGTAATAGGGCAAATTAATTATGCAGGAGAAAACCAGACTCCACCCATTTCCTCAGGTAAGTCCAGTTTTAACCTGAAGATTTGAGGAAATGGGTGGAGTCTGGTGTGCTCCTGCTCAACTTGGAACAAAAACCTGCAGCCACACCGGCCCTTTGAGGACCAGTTTGCCCACCTCTGTATAATAAATCTAAACAGCCTACCACAAAAACCACGTAGAACATGTGGCCCACTTATGATGTGCTGAACTCTTCTAAAATACTACATAAGGTCTCATCATATATATCACCTAATAACATAACAATATGTGTTTTGTATATTTGCAAAATAAGTTGAGGACTGGCCATTGTTTAAAGATTTAATTTAAATAAAGTATTAATTTGAAAAAGAAAATCTCCATATCTTGTTCTCAGCAGCAGAGCAGCCTCCTCCACTGTCGGCCAGACCCTGATTCAGGCTCTTCCTCAGCCTCACTCCTCGCTGGGACGGGCTTCTCCATGAGGCTTACATGAGGCAGAGACACGGGATGGGGGTCTTCCTCGAGCTGTTTGGCTTGAATTGGCTTTTCCTCCCTGGAGCTGTAGAGTTCTGCACCGTTTTCTGGTTTGTCAGTAACTTCTTCCATCGTGGACCCTCTCATATCTGCCTCTTTCTTCCCCTTGAGCTCCTCCATCTCGCAGTTAAGTTGTTGGAGGTGCTCTTGGAGCTGTGCGACCAGGCTCTTCTCCGCTGTCAGCTGTTCTTGCAGAAGTCGCTTCTCGGTCTCCAGTATTTTGGCCTCATCTTGCTCTTGCCTGGTCAGCTGCTGCTCCACCTGCTCCTGTAGCTGTTTCACTCTTTTCTTATAGTCTGCAATCTGCTTGTCCTTTGCTTGAAGAAGTTTGCACAACTCCTCTATTGCCAAAGTTTGTTTTTGAGGTCTTTCTGCCATTGCTCAAGTTGCACAAGTGTTGAATAGTTGAGGTCTGTTTGAAAGTAAACAAGTTCCAAAGATCAACTGAAAGTGCCTCTGTTTATTTTTGATTTGTTTGAGTGTTGAAATTGTAAACAACCAGTTCGAAATTTCCCTAACTGCTTTCCATACTTACAAATGTGTATATTAGCAAAATGTATTATATTATATATAATATATAATAATAATATAATATAATAATATATTATATTAGCAAAAATGAATAAGAAAAGTAAATGTATTCCTATTTTGTGTTGGTGCTCATATTGGGTGTTGGTTACAGGCCCTAGCGACCCAAGGTGTCGTTCAAATCAATGGCCTGCTCTCATTGGCATGTGGTCTCACCATGGAGGCCAAAATATTGGCAAAAGTAACACATTTCAGCCACCTCTGGTCCTCCCAGTCCAGTAGGTGCTCTGCTTGTGGTACTTCCACATGCTGAAAAGAACATAGAGGAGTTAACTTTTCATTGTAAGTGAATAGGAGTCAAAGTGAGACGGAGCATAACCACCTGTAGGAGTAGTGACCACCTTTCTACAACTTCTGCTGGACAAAACATGTAATAACAGCCAAAGAAGCATTTTTTTATGCACATGTTACAAAAATGTACATCTTCTTGTCAGTTAATTGCCATACTTCTATAAATTGTTCAGGGCACATGATAAAACTTACTAACACGATACGAAGTAATGCTCCTAAGTGTTCCTCCAAAGAACAGATGCTGTGTCTGAACAAATGTACTTTTGTTCACACTTCAGCAAATTAAATACATAAGGAGGCATGCATAAATCACAAAGTACAGAATATTTAGGGCATATACAAATATTCATATTTTGTCACTTTACCACAACAGAAGCTAAAGTCAAGGCACACGAGCAGATTACACCCACAGTAGAAAAACATATAACTGCAGAGCACAACAATAGCAACAAACTGAATGGGACTTTGAGAGACAAGACGGGAGGCATCGAATCAATGCTTTGCTATAACTGTCGCATTAGTAATGATTAACGACCAAGGCCAACAGAAACCGGGGAACTATGAGTAGGATTTCCTAAAGATCGAGCACTAAATAATCAAACGAAATGCATTCTGGGAAGAAGAGGCAATTTTCTTGTGAGGATCCCAGAAATGAAGCATCATTTACGTGTTGACCTTTGAAAATGCTATTAATAATGCACTATCTTCTGTCTACATTGGCTGATACAGACTTCAGACGACTATAGTCTGTAGTGAAATGCCAAAATAGTACAGTAATCTTTCCGAGGATGCAGTTAAATGGCAAGACAAAACAAATCCGATGACTGGAGAAAGTTTTTATAACATGCTCGGATAGCCAGCTGAAATGTACATACATGTAGGAGCCATAGACCGTATATATTAACGGACGTACTCACGCCTTTCTCCGCCGTTCTAACTAATGGGCCAAAAATTGTGCTCTCATGGAGTGATTCAAAATGGCCACGGGGGCTGGAAAATGTGAAAAGACGCTAAAAACCTTTTTATTTTGTAAAACCTCATGGCTTTGAACATTGCCCCTGTTCAATAAACAATAAAATTACTAACACGAACCCATCTACTTAAAGGAGCAGTACGTAAAAATCTGGCCAAAAGTGGTACTCCTACACTCTCCCTGACTCAGGTTACCAGATATGCAGACAAATCCAGCTTGGACCATCAAATCTGAATAGACAAGAGTTTTGTCAACAACAAATCTATAACCAACACGTTTTTCACAAAGGCCTCGATAGATATCCTTGTTTTATTCCTTGATTTGTAGTTAATGATTTGAGAATCATAACAAGACCTTTTTTTAGTTCTACAGCCACATGTTATTTTACCAGTGATATTAGCTCGATGGTGTGAGTTCTGGCAACCCTGCAGTCATGAGCCTCTCTACTACTTTGATGTGTAATGGGATAACTTTGTCAGTGTTGCCGTCAACTTTTCTCAGTTATATCTTATAACACAGACATTATGCAGGGCTATGACATCTATTACTCCCACAGTTGAATTGTTGAAAGCCAATAAGCTATTTCATTTTCATCTCAAATAGTTAGAGCTGCATATTAGCAACATCGGTGATTGAACAGAGTGAGTAACATTACACTGATGGCGCATTTCAGGAACCATAATGGAGGCCGGATCCAACACTGAATGCTGAAAATGCTACCTGCTCAAAGACAAACAAAGCTCCTCCAGCTGTAGGAGGTGCAGAGTGTCTATCACACAACCTGTTCTTGGCAAGTTAAGAGGCATATCTGTCAACTAAGAGTGGCTTTGGAAAAACAACATTACACAGGCCCCAAATGGCATTTTGATGGATAATGAAGCCAGCCTTGATGCCTGCTCAGTGATTTTTGTGAACATTTATACTTTCACTTCCAACCGGTAAGCAGCCATTGAGGTGGGGTTTTTGAGGTTTAAAAGGGTAAAATGCACTGACAGTTCAAAAGCACCTGCTGTGGATATGACACTGTGAAGTGAAAAAAAATAAAAATAAATAGCTGCACGCTGTAATCTCCACAAAGACTCAGCATCAACTCAGAGGCACCTTCCCCTCATGTTGCAATGAAACAGGAAAACCAATTAACAGATCATTAAATATCAGTGCAAGTGATTTGCAATAAGAGTGGAATATTAAATGTGCGCTGTACTCAAGCCAATGCAATTACATCTCAATAGACATGTGCATAAAGCAAGAAACTTTTACTTTGGCAAATACAATATTACTATAGGAGCATGAGCCAAATCATATTGTGCCAAAATAATTTAATACATTGGTAACACAGTCAATAGAAATGTCTGGGCATATTTTTGAGACCAATTCCTCCGTTATATATATATATATATATATATATATATCTCTTCCTATCCTTTCGTCTCATTATCCCAAAACTTAATTCATGAGAAATAACTTCCTATTCTTTGAAATGTAAAACTTGCGCTTGTGGCTTTTTCAAGTGCATTTAAGATTCAGTTGGACTCAAAATGCCATTGCTGGAGGCGTCTTTCCGTGACAAATGTTTCCCCAAACTTTGCATTTATATAGTGAAGATAGGTGCGCATTATTAAGAGGCGGTTTACCTTGTACAATGAGGTGGATATGTGAGGTTTTAGACTTCTGCTTCGTCTGTATAGAGCACGTGTAGGTGCCCTCGTCGTAAACATCCACCTATACGACAAACAAATAAAACATTTGAATCATTCGGTGGTGATGCCTTTTCCTGGAGGCAACACGAGAGTCATTGAAAATCTCACGCCGAGTCGAAATTACAAATGTGACGTCACGAATGCACTTGTTATTTATACAATCAACAAAAAGTGTCTCTTGTTGCGCAGTTCAACATGTGCAAGGTGCAAGGAATTACTCGATGATATTTTCAACTCCTTGTGAATTTACGGCATTAATTAGAAATCTTCTAAACACCTTTAATAAATCTTCAATGAGAGCATACTGTAAATCACATGAATACATGTAATGAATGTAATGCATTTGTGACTAAACTGCCAACTCCAACTAAACACATTTCTACATACAAACACCTGATTAGTAACCAGTGTGTAGCAATAGACATCATTCACTTTATTGAATCCATTAACTCTTCAGACCACAACATACCGAGTTTAATTCATTTGAAAACATGTTATCTTTTATATACTAAGAGCTGAATGGCAAGAGAGTGAGAGTTGGTTTTCTTTTCACTGAATAAACTGATGTAAAGATGTGACTGAGGCCAAACATACTGAACATGTGAAAACCTGTGATGTAACCAGAGTGTTTTGTGTTTTCTACAGCATTCGAATGTGGTGCGCGAGCATAAATTATAGATAATTTGACTATAGAATATACATTTGTGTACGTTCTCAGCCGTAAAGGTATTACTCAAAACAAACAATGGTTGTTCACCCATCATCTGAAAGCCTGATAACGTGATGGGTGAGCAAGCTTGAATACAGTTATTAGTGTGGTTTCAAAGTCAGGCACTCCAGCTTTAACTACGTAAGTAAGTGAATGAGTAAGTCCCTTGTAAAAGCCCTCTGTGGACTAATGTTGAAAATTAGCACCTGTGCACATACAGCGATGCATCTGGTTCGCCCATTGTTATTATTATGTCCATATTAAACACATAACAAAGTAAGACTATATAAATATCTTTCCTTTTGTGAAGGCCTTTATGCTCTGTTCCATTTTTCCTGCTGTAGCTAGTTCACTTTATCTTTTAGTGACTCTCAATAAATACTTCTGACTCTACATTTCAGAGTTATGGTTCTTTTGTGCACCTTCACCAAAACCTGACGTTAAAAGCTCCCACTCATGTACAAAGCGTTTACCTTCTGTATGCGCAGGCTGTATTCGAGCTGTCCTTTCGTGACCAGGTCTACTCTGGGGTCCAGAGACCACTTGTCCTGTCCAGCGAAGATGATGTTGGATCGATTGAGCCAGGCCACTCTGGACACTTTGTCATCAACATAACACCTGTCAAGAGCAAGGACACAGGACGTCAGCGTGAGACTGCAAACTCACTTCATGAGGAGTGAACATGGAGAGCGTCATAACCGAAACATGGAGCTCGATCACTCTTGGGTCTGGTTTATTAGTGAATGTAAAATCACCAAAAAAGGGAGCATGTGTCACTTTTTCTTAAGAGGTAAGAGGCAAAAAAGAGGCTAGAGAAATAAAACAAGAACAATCATAAGAGAACTACTGATCGAACTAATCTGTGTTGAAAGCCAGGAACTAATATGATATTTTTACACTTCACTGAAATCCACTTTTGAGGATTGTAAGTCAGGTACCACAGCTTTAGGTCACTGCACATCATTTAAAAAGTGAATCTGAGCAACTAGCCTGAACGTACACTTAGACAACCAAAGTATGTGCATCATGTCAGACCCAAGCTTCTACCAAATCTAAGGTCAAATCATGTAAGTCCTTTATGTCAACAATCGGACGTTTTTTGCATCATTTCAACTCCCACTATTTGATTTCAGGTATATGCAAAACCAAAGCGGCTTCAAAAGTTTACCTGCTTTGCCTTTGTCAATTCCAATGAGCATATTTCAAAGTTAGCAACACCTAATCCCACAATGCAGCAGGTGGTTTATCACAAGCTGTCATTTCTCACACATTTCCCAATCCGTAATCCTATAACTCCTCCACCTCATCGTCTTCTTTTGTCTCTATCAAGCCACTTTTCCTCCAACCATTGAGGCTCACATTTCCCTTAGAATGCCTTCTTCTGCCTGATAAAAACATCTCCTATAACAGCAGTGCTTTCCGCGGGATGAGAGCGGACGCCGGTATCCTCTTGTTTACTTCTTGTCAAGGCATTACGCACTTACAACCCGGGCTGAGACACATCGCACAGAGGGGGAAGGAGGAGAGACGAGCCCCGCCGTTCACCCTAATGAATAAATGTAAATGCAACGAGACGCACAAATCAATGGGAATAGGTCTCACGCATAATGCAAGCTGACAGTGAATGTGGATAACATGCAAATGACTTGGCTGGGCACAGGAGCACGCTAGTCTGGCAGGGGGAGTGGTGCGAGGCTGCGGTAGGTGACCCGGGGTGAGGTGTAAAAATGGAGGTTCAGTCGCCTCTGACTGGAGCGCTGAGGGGAGCGGATGTCAGATTTGTAGAGGGCTTGAACACACAGCTGGAAATCTGGCGGACTGTTTCTCTAAAAATACACTATACTGGCTCCACAGATGCTTTGGGATGCAGTAACTGTTCTGGAATTTATTATGGTCAAATAATCCGCAAAATGTCATCGTTAATATTGAACGTTGCATACAATACTTCATGTCGTACATTTCACTACATAAAACAAGCAAGTTTTTGTGTTTTCTGAGAAAGTTTTCTGAGCAGTTCATTTCAGATTGGACCGAAAATGCACCACACATTCCGCCTCATTATAGTATATACAAAACAATTATAAATTAGGATGATTTAGAGCAATTTAGCAGCAAATATTTCGATTGTTTGAAACCGTTTTGATACAGAATGAGTAATATATTCAGAATATATAATGATATTTTTTAAATGTCAAAAGTAGTGCAAAATAACACAACATTTCATTAGATTGTGATTACGTAAAAGCTCTAGACGCATATATTACTTTCTGATTACAACAGCAGGCCATTCACTACAGAAGGTGTTAAGTTTATATTCTGATGTTTTGATTGTGTGTTTACTGGCTGTTCGCACGTGTAAAGTGCATTTCACATAAAATGCATTATTATTATTAGATTAGACCTGCAACAGTTCACACTTATAATCACAGACGGCTCGGAAATAAGTACAACATGTGCAAGAAACTTCATCTGAGCCATCTTCATCATTCAGCAATAACAGGACAATTTTTAATCCAGCATTGGCACAACCCTCTTTGCAACAGCGCCTCATATGCAGCAGTCTGCAGGGATCAGGCTCTGCTCACTAATGACGCAATGCAATGTGATAAATCGTATTCATGTGAGAAAGTTACTATTGGTGCAACGCTCGCAGCTCTTCATTGCGTCAATTCTACAAAAAGTGCATAATCTTTTTGAAGAGTCCTCCGCTAATATTTTATCCATCACATATCGATGCAGCCATCCACTTTGTCCGACTCATGTCTGGTTACCATGGTCACCCACAGAGACAACTTTTCCACCACAGATGAATGTGAGAAAAGGAGAAATCCAAATAGAATTGTTTTAAGTCATACTTAGGTCAATAGAGCACGTACAACAAGATCATGTGTTAAAAATAAATGAAAGATTATAATGTTGTATTCATGTAAGTAATCTTTATTTATATACCGCCTTTCACAAACCAGAGTCACACAGCGGTTTACAACTGTCCTCTCACTCCACACAGAGATGGGAGCGGGGTCGTCAGTACAGGAGGCGCATGCTAGACCTATTGTATATATTTTTAGTGGTAGGGGAAACCGGAGTACCCGGAAGAAACCTATGCAGACACAGGGAGAACATGCAAACTCCACTGAGAAGCGAGAGTGCTATCCACTCAGCCACCAGTATGTATGATTTAATACATGTTTGCACCACAAAGTCAATATGATCAACATCAGTTCAGATCAGTCTCCTCAATAATCCTCTTCAATCCTCTTCCATTTAATTTTCATACTACTCTTGGTCAAAATTTTGATTGATTTTACACTAATTAGTGAGACCACTTGACTTGATCAAACATGACAAATGGAACTGATAAGCTTGAATAATTCACTCTTCAAGCAACAAAACACCTAATATTTTCATACATCCGTCTCATTAGGAGCCAGCCCAGAAAGCTTCCACTCTAATGATCCAGTGGGCCCAGGTGATGTTGTCTTTGCAGCCACTAAAGCGTCTGATGGACTGTTTACAGACAAGTCCTTATCTAAATGATAATGCCGTGTTAGTGAAGCGCAGAGACAAGGCAAAGTGTTCTCTGTGAGCCAATAAACTGGTCCATCTCCCTGGCTGCTTCCAGTTTAGATTTCACCGCATTCACTTCCTTTCGTTCTTTGTTACCGCAGAGAATGTCTCACCAAGTAAGCAGACAGAGAGGAACACACAAACGCACACACACAAACTTCATTCATATCTTAAGAAAACAAAAACATATTACGATTAAAAAGTCACACATTTTACTAAGCAAGTGAATTTTGTTTTTTCACAAATACAGAACATTACATTATCTCTTTGTTTGGGGTGAATTTTCGGTTTTCCAGAAAGCTATATAAAATTGTATATAAGGAGTAAAAATGTCCGCTGTTTTATAATGCATTGAAACACATGTTATGGCTTTCTTCTATTTCTTACCTACATGGTAATAAATTCACGTTTTAAAAGCAGTGACTTGTAGATTTCAATGGAATTTAATTACTGGTTGAGGCCGGGCAACCTTTGTCGGCACCTTATAGTGCCACTGGGGCTTAAGCTCTCACTTTGAAAAGCACTGCTCTTGGCTAAGCAAAAACATTTATATGGAAGAAAGCAGGAAGTAGGCAGATGTCATGTGTGGCACATCACTGCATACAGTAATAAGAGCAGGTGACTTGTACCGTACTCCCATCCTCCAGATGTTTAAATGGGTGTTCTTCAGCTCCACCATGTGTTTCTCCATATGACTTGAAACATAAAATCTTCAGTACTTGCCCCACACCTCTAGTATGTTTCAACTTTTAAATATTCTTGTAAGGTTTTTGCATATCTCTTTTTATCTGTTCGCACCTCTGCCTCCTCACTCCATCTGCCTCTGAAGCAGTTCTGCTCTTCCTCCAGGGTGCTCTCATCTCAGCTGCAGCTCAGTGGAACAGTAAGTCATTACGACCCAGACTGAGGAGGAGGAGGCTGCAGATGCTTATGTGCAACTATATGAATCACACAGCGATATAAAAAACACAATGCAAAAATAATATATGTTATCAACGGTATGACAAAACAAATCATTGTCTGAATAACAAGGTTTAAGTTGAAGCTGGTGTACTTAACTTATTTGATTCCATAAAGGAGACATGAGGCATGTTTGTCCCAGAAAGATCTTTTACATGTTTCATTTAGAGAAAGATATGTTTTACATATTTGTAAGAAACAGCCCTGTGAGTCACTATTTGAGTCTTTAGGCTAAAAGCTGATATAGAGAACAAAAAATAAGCATATGACAATTATATATGTGGTGATGTGGATCTGCATGGCCACCAGCAGGAGGCGCACGGAAGTATAAAATGCCTCAGTGCGCCTCTCTCTGTCTACGCCGCGCAGACTTCCGCCTCCCGTGTCCACCATCCTGACAGTACAGGGGTGTGCTGTAATGGGTCGCGTTCGTTTGCCACTGGCTCAGCTTCCTGCCCTTTTTCTGTGGGTCCAGGTGTGGGCTGGACCCAGGATGTTGTGCACAACGGCCTACTGACCGTGCGCAATGACAGCGTTCCAGAGGGCAGGATGCAAGATCTGGACGTGACCCCCGCTGCCATCTCGCCTTCTTTTTCCACTTTACTTCTCTTGTTCAGATACTTGTCTTTTATATTGCTAATACGACACAGGGACAAATTGATTTATGTAATGTGAACGTGAACAAGCTTTTGTACACTTGTGAAAAACTAGAGTGAGAGAAACTGATTTTAATGAATGTGCTCACCCATGGATCATGCCTCCTTGTATGAGCTTACCTGTGTGCCTTAGGGCGTTTTATTTTATTTTGGGTTTAAAAACCCTGGCGTTGCTGGTATGTTAGTGCACCGAAAGTGAGCCCACGACCCTCGTAATGCTACATATATACACACTCTTTTAGAGCTAGAAAATAGCTTGATGGATTTGATGGTTGATGGTTTTGTGGTTTGGAGGCAAACAAGTGTTGAAAAGTAAAAAGTCTGATATATTCAGACATAAAACCTCATGCCAATCTGATCACTATGGAAACAATACTATTGAATGTTGCTTGGAACATAAAAAAATGGTAGAGTTTGCTACAATTTTGTCAAATGAAGCATGATTTGCAATCAATAATAATAATGATAATAATACTAATACCCTAACCCTTGTGAATTAGTTGTATTTTCATTGACAAAAGTTTGGGTCAAGGAAGGACTTTTAAATAGATTGCAGAGAATGAGCTACTATACGTACCAAACCCTGACCCAATAAGGTAAAACTAACCTGTCACACGTCGGTCCTTATCAATGGGTGAGCAAACCAATGCTTGGGGAATTCTGCTTCACAATGATAGGACGAGTCGACATGATGCTTATTATATTTGGAAAATCTAATATCTCTTCTTTCAAAGACGCGTGTAGCAGCATATGGAACACGCTCAGCAGGAGGCACTTGACCCTCTCAATAACGAGAAGACTAGAGACCCACCAGCGTCCATCACTGAAGTCAGTTGTCTTGACTTGTCCACTGCAGCTGTCTAAGTGCATAGCTGTCTTCAATACAGGCCTGAGTTTAGGTTCTCCTGTCTGAACCATCAGTACTAAAGGTTGGTCTGTCAGTGGCACAGCTCGATCCATCTGAAACTTTTCACAAGTGAACTCCCTCATTGGGACCGGAGTTTGATTGGAATAGCTCCATGCTCGAATGATTTGCAATAAAACTCTATCCCAATAACAGACAGCAGCCTCCCCATGGTGTAGGATCTTAACTGTGTCATTTTGGCCTGAGCGACTTTTGGTTGGTGTATTTTGATGTATTGACATTATTTGTATCCCTATATCTGGAGCATAAATGGATACAAATACATACAAGCTTTACTAGATGAATTCATGTTTTTTCATCATATGAAATGTATCAATGATATATAATCCTCCCAAAATAAAAGTTTAAATGTTAAATCTATATTCATGTATGACAAACCTTGATGAACTTGGTAGGGGAAATGAATGCAACACACAACCCTGATGCAAAATGGATAATTAGATGGGCTTTCATATATTAGGAAAACATGGGTTCCAAATCATAAAAGGACAAAGAAGCTCAGAATAACAAAAGAGAGTTTTAACTAACTAAATAAAAATACAAACACAATCTGAATAACTTCAAAGAGTCTATCAAAACACACAAAAACACATCCTGTGGGATCAGAGGCAGGCAAGACACTGACAATTTCAAGCCGCCTTGCACAGAAGGTGTATGCCGCTTTTCTGAGCCGGGCAAGTAGTTGCTGCGGAGTCGGATTGGCCGCACAGAAAAACAGTGACCCGCCTCCTGAGCAGGGGTGTGGAACACTACGCATCATGGGGCCTGAACAGCACCACACAACACAGGAGGGAGGGAAGCGGGAACTGCGCGGTGCCATCAGCTATAGCTAGTCGATTTTATTTTATCATATTGGTCGAACAATGATACATATTCACCTTTCGATTGGTGTAAAGAATACTCAAGTTTCAGCGGTTGCCAGTACCATAACTGTTACCTCTGTTCTTGGATTTCAACTCCACCCTTTTGTGCTGTAGATATGAGTTTTGGAAAGAGAAAAAGTGGCTGATGCTACTAAACACATCCTTGTTGATTAAAGGGGACTTTTCATTGAGCTGGACTGTGCAGAATAGCAGCCCTTCTGAGCAGAGGGTTTGTGTGGTGTTTTCTGGTGATGGATGCTTTGGTTGCTATCCCACACTGTTTTACCCTCAGCCTTTGTTGATGGATGCTATATTACAGTCGCTCTCCGCCCGCTGTGCAGTGCCAATACGGAGCGGCCAATAGGCTATAGCTGACACGGGACTGTGTGGGCTGACAGATGCCTGGGCAAGAGCTGCTGAGCTGGGCTTGTGTTGACAGGAGGCCTGGGCTGGATGGATCTCTGCTCCAGGGCTAGCCGTGGGGGAGGACCGGAGAGCGAGCGTGAGTCGGCAACCAAACAGTAATGAGGAAGCCGTGATGCGCCCCAACTGACAAGAGCGGCCACACCACCCGTCACCACGTCAATACTGCACTGCGCAAACTACTGTCATGTTTTATAGGATTTCTTTTCTTCTTCCTGAAATTGCTCGTTCCTTGTATATGTATTCTATAACTATTTTGAATTCATGCAATTGCAGGTTTAGTGCTCATTATCCAGGCAAAGTATCATCTCAATTCAAACAGGTGGTTGGGCCTTACCAAATGGATGATGGATAGTAATAAACCACTATCAATAAATAAGACTCTTTCAAGAAGCCTGAAAAGCCTATTCCAGACATAACTTCTAATGGTACACTCTGGATAAATGGACTGGTTCAAACAACAAAAAACGGTAAAATCTATGGTCAGACACAAATTTTTTGAAGAAATTTATAAATAGTAGCATTTTAAACTTTCCTCTATATTGGTGCTAATTGGCCATTATAACCAAAATAATAGTCAGATCAACCATTATTACAGTCTACAGATTGTGAAGTGTATTGCCTAAGGCCCAACAACGATCTGACAGGATCAGGCTGTAACTTGCAGGTGTGCCACAATAGACAGTAACTTGTCGAGATGAATATTACTATTGTATGGTATTTGAAGTCAACCAATGCAAATTCATCATTCTGGCCAATATATATCGGTCAATCCAACTGTATTGGTTTAACCTATTAGATTAGTTGGCCCATAACCTACATTATCTCTGATCAATATATTGGAAAATGGAACAGATAACAGCTGCTTAATTATGATGCTCTTTTGTCCAACCAATGTATGTTCAGAGTGGAAACATAGAACACTGTTAAATGGCAGACTCTAATTTGTTAGATAGTATTGTTCTCTCCACAAAACTGTGTGGCCGTTCCGTGGAGTTTTATTTATATCTAATGAAAGTCAATCTGTTCTAGAAAGTGGAGGAAGAAAAAAGTTTGAAATATAGTTGGGATTTTGAAACACACGCATCAGTGAACTGAACCTTTTTTTTCACTTGACATAGCTTGATCAAACCTTTCTGACATGCTCTGGAATACAGTAGCAGACATTTCTCTTGACTGTCATACTGGATCCTTTCGTCAAACATTCAACAACTTGTTTCCACATTCAGTTGAGATCAAAAGGAAAATCTGAAGCGATGTGAACAGTTTGACAAGAGTATGGCTTCTTGTGCTTCACGCCCGCTGAGCCATATGCCACTAAAGTTGGACACGACAGCTACGTCTTTGTTGTGTCCACCCAGGCGTGAGCCCAGAGTCCATCCACACAAGACAGAGAAAGTAGCTCTAATATTATCCAACAAAATACATTGTCATCATTTTATTGACATACAGTAGATCATCCCACTACTTAAATAAATGTTGAATATGATGAAAATTGTAGCTCTAAGTTATTGATAGAAAACACATAGGAGGGACATTAATTTATATATTTTTTCCTGCAATACCATTCACTGTTGTGTATTCTGCCTACATTTGAGCTGCGGGATATACAGCCCTAGGAGGAATAGTTATCCCTCCAGCTGCTAAACTGCCAGTACAAAGTATAACATGCGCATTTTCATCGGTTTAGTTCTATAAGACATGTCCGTTTGCCCTGATGTTAACGGTGCACACGTCTAGAGTTAGAATGTCCAGGTAAGTCAGGGTTCAGACAAACATTCACTAAAAGGATTTAAAAAAAAGTAAAAACGTCTACGGATGAAAAAGTACAAGAAAATGGAAAGAGATGAAGCCTCCTGCAAAACCAAATTAAACTCATACCATTCAGACAGAGCCCTCAGAGCAGTGTCTTGCCCCAGATACTCTTAGCATGGAAGGTTAAATGTATTTCAGGTTTAAAAAAGTTTATCCCCGAGCAGAGAGGAGAACACGCCGGGCTTCAAAATAATTCCACAAAGCCGTTCCATCCTGGA